TAGAGTCACTTACTAGCATAGCACACAATATGAATAGTATGCACAATGTGCATAGTGTGCTATGATATTGAGCGACTCTGTGGACTGTATGTACTGTATACATAACTCATATTCGGTTGCTGTGTCTTTATGCGAAAATGTTTAAAGAGAAATCCTCGATAGCGCGACAAAATATTTTGCGCTCTCGGTCATTCCTCTTCCAAAGCGCAAATAAGAGCGCCTGCGACTTCCATTTAGCGCCCGTATACTACACGGGATATTAGCACCGTTTATATGTACAAAAGACAAAAGACCACAAGAATTTTATACGTATAATTTTCGATCATTTCATATTTTCAGTTTTTTTTTTTTGTGCGAAAAAAGGAACTTTGTCAACAAACCAATGCACAAAGGAAATGAAAATGAAAAAAAACAACCAATTTAATTTTTGTCCATTTGAATCAACTAATTCTGAGACAAGTTTTCCAACTACGAAATGACATTTTCCCGTATTTGTGTGGAAACATGGAGTATTTTGACCAAATACGTATACCGTGTGAATCGGGGTGTAAAATGTTTGAAACTATTTTGCGGTGTGGCAACAAATTTAGCGGTCGCTTGTATGTGGATGTGGGAAATAATATCTGAATAAATTTTTAATGTAATTGATGTGGGAATAAATACACTCAGCATATGGGAATAGTATGTGTGCGAGAGAAGTTTATAGTATATTTCACAGTCATAGTTACAGACATAGACTTCATGTTGAAAGAAAGACAGAGAAAGAGACTACATTATGAGTGAAAGGGCGAGAAATTAAAAGTTCCACGAAAGAAGCGTTTGTGCATTCTTTCTGGTATTTGTAAATGGCGTGAAGAATTCCAGCACAAAATTAACGCATTCACAAGCATATACACATGTACACACCCCTTTTGTTTCACTGAAGCGCGTTAAATACTGTGTGCGGATCCCAATTAACTGGCGGCTGCGCTAAATTATGTTATGTGACAGAGGTTACACACTGCATGCACGGCGGAAAAAGTGCCGTCAGGCTAAAGAAAAACCCATGTAGTAAATGAAGAGAAAAAAAGCTGATAAAAAATAGAAAAAGAGTAAGCTTTATGTGGCGTTTTTCTTTGCTATTTTGATGGCAACGGATACCATGGAAAAGGAATTCGACGATGAAGGCAAGTTGTGTAAACGTTGAACAACGATATACATATAATACCAACCTAGAACAGTGACTAATTAAGCACATTGGATAATTAGAATCGCTATAATAAATGCACGCCATCGCAAATGCATATCAAATAGGTTTGGAGGGTGGTCGCTGTCGACAGACGAACGTTTCGCACATTTCGAATCTCTTGAGTCTGAACTCACAGAGCGACAATGAAAACAAAAATGAAAACCAAATTTTCTGTTGATTATGCAAAATAAAAGAGCCATCCAATTGAAATAAATTTGTTGAAATAATGAATGAGCTGAACAACGCGACGATAAAAAAAAGTAACCGAAACCGAATAGAAGAGAAAAACTTTATCGTCTTGTTAAAAGTTTAAAATTCAAAAATGAAGAGGATTTTAACAATCCAACGATAAGATGTTAGCAGCTAGTGAACCAAGAAGCTGTTCCTTATGTTTTGTCGTTGGCATGTGTTTGCTGTTTAATCTGAAAATTTATGATTTTCAATAAAACATTGAAGTCGATCCATCTATTTAATGTGACATTATGTAAATTGATGGTCATTTCGATTCAGCACCTATTCTCTGCTACTCTCTCTCTCTCTCTGATACTTCACATTTGAATGATTATGAAAGAGAACAAAAAAAAAACTGGCATAAAATGTCAATTTAGAACGCTGGTCTCCAAAAATGCTGTGTTATTTTCGATGTTTTTATTATCATACAATGACCGTTTCGCAGATTATTTGCATTTATGTGGCCATCGAGCATGATTCGGTTTGTGTCCGCATCGCAATATTTCATTTCCGCAAGACACCAATCCCAAGAGTAACGACGGAAAAAGCGTAATTTATGAGCTTGTATGCGAAACTAAAATATATCCATTGAATACCGTGCATTCACGTACTGTCTCACATTAGCTATAGCTCTTGTGCGTGTATCTATGCATCTGTGACCAATTCAAATGTACGCTTGCATTTTGTCCACTGCAGAAAACTACAAAACCTATTTGACAATTAAACAAAACAAACACACTCTGACAGAGCGGGGGACTCTGAAATGCCACTGCATTTGATCCAGAGTGTAAATTAATTTGTGATGTTAATTAATGCAACAGCACAATATTTCAACATTTTATGTACACACTGCGAGGAGAGAGGGATATCAACGTTCGCTGGGCTACAACAATAGCAATTATCAATATATTCCCGTAATATGATGTGTAAATGTGGCGAGAGTTCGACATATTTTATGCACCCTGCCCTGTGTGACCACATTGATTTATATGAACGCATCACAATCATGAACTGCACTGAAAAGGATGCAATATACTTATACTACCAATGGAATTTAGTCAACAGTTACACCATACACACACCATAGCCATCGCATCTACCAAATGTCAATGCTGTGTCAGCGCCCGTATCGGCGCGTACGCAAAATGTATAAATTCTCAATGGGAATGTTATAATGTATGTTATATGTATATCAACCCTCGTGAGGTGTTTAAGGTCAAGTGTTCAACAAGAATTGAATTCGATGCAATTTTATTGGAAAATATATTTCTTTGTTTTCGCATGAAATCTATTGGGGTAGGCGGCATTGTTTCAATGTGGTTTGAAATGCTGATCCAAATTTAATTTGAATAAATTTGCTTTGATCTCGACTAGTAAGAGCTTTAGCTAATAATTATTTTGCAATGTTTGATCACGTGGAAATAGGTGCATCAAATACAAGCAATAATTTGTATTTATTTGTAGACAATGTGTGAATGAATATGAATATATTTTAATTTGTTACGACATAGCTCATACATACATACATCGCATTTCCCTTGGCACGGGGAACATCACTCAGTTTCCACGATATGAATTTACTTTGTGCAAATAATTTAATTTGAATCGTTGCTCACATTTGCCGTAAACATGATTTCTTAACGCAATGCATTCAAGCCTTATGTGTGTGTATGAGCTCGAAAAAATCCATTTGTTCACAATCTCTTAAATACAATTTGTTTGCAGTGAAACCAAAGAAGAGTTCAAGAGTTCGATCACTCTTTGTAGTTGAGTTGGTGCCAAAATTATAAATGCATTACATTTTGATCTATTTCACTTGATTTATATTAATATTTATTCTGGTTGATTCTATGTATAACGTCTGAGCGAAAAGTGATGTATATATGGCATTATACGTGATTCATTCAATGAATCGTTTTCTCTTGCAGAAGTTTGCTTTCTTCAATTGGAAACTTCGCATAATGAAGCGATTTCAATGACTTAGAAAGTCATTGATATTATGCTGTTGCTCTCAAAATGTTCAAGTTCTTGAAAGAAAACCACATTGAATGTGAAAATTAACAAAGACGAATAGTAATGATTTTGAGAGGCTGTTTGATAGCATGTGCACTTTTTTGTTCACTCTTTCCTGCTTGTAGATGTTGGTGGAAATGGTTTTTGTTTCGGAGCTTTATGATGATGCAATATGCTTGCGTGCAATGTGGGTTAAGTGATACTTATATGTTTTTAAGGAATAGTTTGCAACCATCTGCGAACGGTAAAAATACTGCTCGTCCGCAAAAGACTAAATGTGTATGCGTGTGCACTGTGCAAGTGCATTTCGTTTGTAATTGAAAATATCTTGTGCGAAAAACCAGAGCTGGTCAGAAACATATAAAGAGCGAGAGCAAATGTTCAAATAAAATTTTATTTATATTTCATTCGGTTTGTTTTTCTGAACTTTCTGCACTGATAGTCTATAATAATAGCAACGGATACCGTTTAAATGCGGGATCCGCTCTTCCGCATTTGCAATGCGGTTAATTGCCAGCAAATATGCTTCATACGCGTGCAAGTAGATGCGCGCATCCACCAAAGACGGATAATGAATCATTTAGTGCATACACAAACATAAAGAAGACCGACACATTCAGTTTTCCATGTGACTTTCGGAAAATTTGTTTTAATTGCACTTTTCATGTTCCAATTCTGTTTACAGTACTGGTTTCGGTGTGTGCGTCTGCATTTGAAACGGAATTGTGTTGATACAAGTGGCCCTCGTTATTTAAGATGCACAAGCTTTAAGATTGCGATGAATTTTGCCGGTGATGCTTGCATTTTAATCCCGACATGATTTTCGATCATTGCGACACTGAGTGTAGCACACTCGATTACATTTAATAAGCAAAGTTGTGTATTGAAGGCTGATACAAAACTTTACAATCGAAACTCTGATTTTAAAGTGATAAAGTTTTAAGTGTTTGCAATTCCCAAAGTTGTCGTACTTAATCCGTATGCGACATAAACCCAACTTACCCCGTCCGCAAATGAACTTTATTCATTTGGCTTTCCGAATCGGTTGTACATTCGAATGGAACGTGAACTTAATCAAGAGAGGATATTCGATTTCGTGAATAAAAAGTTGAGCATAAATTATAATTCGTAAAAAGTAATGGAATTCAAAAGGTCAATAAGAAATGATCAAAAAAAAGAATAATCCACGTCCTTTTCAATTCCACTTAGATCGTCTTGTCGCCCATTTTACGTATTTGCGAAAAAAATTCAAGAAAAAATCTTTTAATAAGAAAGAAACCAATTCAAAACTTAAGCTCCAAAGATCCGTTTGTTTGTTCTGAAAGAAAAAAATGCTTAAGTGCTTTATGAATTAATTGAATGTGATGTATAAAAAAGTGGCCTTTCTTTCCAGGCACTTACCTATATTCTTTTGAAAAAACAAAGATGAATGGAGCACACAATATAATAAAAAAATGCATAATTTAATATATCCAACATAGTTCTTTTATTTTGAGTTCTTAAAATTCTTGTGTGAGTCGATTATGAAGAGTCTCTCTGAATTCATATTAAACATTGTGTTAATTCATTTTTGTCACACAGTTTTGACCATTCGGCTTCTTTTTTTTTCTTAAAAGTAGTATTTTATGACTATTATTTTTTTTCGTTTCATTTTTTTTGTTTGGATAATATAATCTTTATACGTGATTTTTTATTGTGTGAATTTTTCTTTCGCTTTACTTACTGACTAGAAAAATGGATGTATATTTATTTTTTTTTTGTTCCTTTATGATTTGCATCAATGTTTTCTCAAGTGTTTCACGTCGTTTCCACTTCCTTTGAGGCGAATACTGCAGAAATCTTGGAGAAAAAAGATTTCATTTTTATGGTATATTTTTCTCATCACGTCATGAAGAAACAGAATCGATAAATAAAAAAAACGGAATTGAGTTACACGGTTCTTTGATGTGCATAAATCGTAACTTCACGCATTCAAAGTGCTAAAATTGAGCATATACATCGTTTGTTAAAGTAAAGGTTTTGGCGTCAATCAACAAAGTAATACCGTTCCAGAGTGTGTCACCAACGCAAAATGAGATTGAAATTGTAATTTGCGTTTCTTGTCTTACGAAGCTATAATATTCCATTTTTTAATTTTCTTATCCATTACGACATAACGGGCTATAATTTTTTTGTTTGTTTTTGTTCTGCAATATTCTTTCCTATAACTGTCTATCGTATCGCTGTTTATTTTTTGCATTTACCTTATGCTGTTCTACGCCTTTTTGCCACTCTTTCAAACTGGATAATTTATACTTAACAAGTATAAAACTGAGTCTCATTATCACAATGAACTTATTTACAAATTTTTCATGTAATCCATATTTTGGTTTTTAATTTTTTTTTTTTTTTCATATTTAAATATAAACACTTTTTCTAATCATAATCATCAATCAATAAATAAATAAACTCTTTGTGTCATCCGACCACATAATGGTTCTTTATGTAATAGTAATATATTACTTTAATTTATTTTCGTTTTGGTAACTCTTCATAGATAACCAAAATGTGATCAACTGTATTTATTGGCCTTGCATAGATTCTTCTCACGTCGTCATCTAACTTAAACATTTTATGTTTTATAATATCTCTCAAATGTCAAATATGTACGGAAATGGTCGGTCTTTAAAAGGGCATTTGGTATGGAATTTTGTAGACACTTAAGAGCATCGCAATCGTTCCATTTAATTTTTTGGCTAAAAGTTCAATGTGTGTATAATTTTCTAATTTATTATTAAACATTTGACTTCTCTCGGTTCAATTAATGTTGAACGATGAATTTCATTACTTTGACTGTTAATTCCCCGGACACCATAGCAATTTATTTGTTTACCATTCGTTCAATAATAAACCACTGTTTTCGGTATTTTCATTTCCATTTATCCTCTTCTAATTAATGTAAATACATTGCGACTTTCATGTATTGCAAATACTTGTATCTAGAGCACAAGTAGTTGTACTGAACACGAAATATTTGGATGTTTAAACAAGGGAAAGTTATCAGATTTCAGTTGTGTAGCGAAACAAAATGTTTGAACGGCAGTGTCTTCGTTTAAACTCCAAGAGAGTGCAGGATACAAAAACCGCGAAGATGGCAATGTATAAGATTGTAATAGTGAAACCCAAGAAATATACAGACAAAACAATTTTAACTTATTTTCTAAACCGTAAAACACAGTTTGGATAACAAATTAGACGTTTCACTGGTTTGCCGGATAAAATATATTACTTGAAAACTGAAAATCAGAAATAAATTTCATTGGTTTTGTTTTGGTGAATTGGAAGTATAGAATTTACGTAAATTGAATGTATTCTATTCATGATTTCAAGATACTCAAAAATGGCAGATTCTTATTTGGAATAGAATATATTTAATCGACATTCAACTCTCCCGAAAATTTAAGAGGTTTTGTTTTGCGAATATTCCAAAACAGGAATTATCGAAATTGTATGGTGTAGAATGTACTATAAACAATATAATAAATGTGTATTTTATCCGAAAATCTATTATTACATCATCCAGATGATAGATATGATAAGTCCGACAACATTGTTCTTCAAAATTACATTGTACGTTTGCTTTTGACATATTCCAACCACAAACTAAATTTAAAAATCTCTTTTCTGTTGTGTATTCTAATCACTTCATCCGAAAATTCTTGTTCTTCGATGCAAGTTTGAGTATAAAATTTTCACGTAATCATGTATTGTAAGTAGCTTGATACTCTATGGTCGAAATCTGTACCATAATTCTGTGAATCGTCGTGTAATAAGAATTGAATTGTGTTGAAAAACATTTTAATTTTGATAGTAAATACTTCCCCGTACTTCCCATTTGAATAAGTAACAAATTGAAGCCTGGTAAAAAACTGATTTCCTCTTATAACAATCATGCGGTCGAATAGTTTGAGGGAATCCAACCGTTATCAAAAACTGAAGGTAAAAAATGTTCTCTGTCTGATGCAGAAAAGCTCTTCAATTTTCAGTTTTTCTTTTGTTCTGTTTTGACTAGAATTGGAGGTGCTATGAAGCAAGACTTCATGAAATTTTTTAAATTATTTCAATTCGAAGAAATCAGTAACAATTCGTTCAATTGTACCCATTAACCAATGGGAGGAAATGACAGCAAATTTTAAAATTGGCGCACTCTTTAGTTTCGATTTGAGTTGTTGAATTACATTGACGTCCACTTTGAAATTCGGGGCACCACCGTCGGCTCAAAGAGACTTGAAGTCTTCACATCCTCTCATTGCCATTAACAATGCAAATTTAACACGTTGCAATGAATATTCATTCCAAATTTAACATTTCCTTTCCAGGACGCTTAAAATTTTGCATTCAGCTCGCAAAGAGGAGCAAGAAAATATTCATCCAATAATGGCAGCTTTCAACAATCATCGAATGCCATGTTCAAATTTAAAGTGTTAGTCAGCCGTCATTTCATTCGCATCCAAGTTTTTCATTAAATTCTTCCAACTGAATCGCATTACTGCGCGTGCTATTCATTCCGTAGCAAAGTCGTACAGCTTTAGGTCAATTTATCCAGTTAACTCGTTAGGAGCAACAAGAAGAAGTTTAAAAAACATCATGTAGAACTCTTACCTCGAAATATGATTTCAGACGTGCAATGAAAATAACGAAATTCACTTACATTTCAGTGTAAGGTGCAGGTAAAACCGAATATTTTTCATTGCTGATGAAACAGAGAGCGAGTCCAACTCAAACAAGAAAACCACACGTTAGAAACAAAAAACCCATGTCGACCACTGACAGATATTTTAACAACATTTTGCATATTTTTCCATTATTTAACAACTCATTTCAATCAGTTACAAATTTTCACTGGTGTTTGCTTCTGCTGCTCTAATGTAATTATTTGCGCATCAAGAGAAGTTTACTTCAAAATCTAACTGCTTAATTCATATTTTTTTTTTGCATTTATCGTCAGTGTGCTGCAGTTATGGTTCGTTGTAGTGGTGACCGTCTTCATTATTTTTGATGTTGATGCTATGGTCTAGCCGTCACACATTAAATGGAAAAGTCAAAAGTACAGTGTGTTGTCAGTAATTTCATTTTTAAATACTAAAATCAGTCACGATTCTGTTCGTAAACAATTTTCTTTACTCGAACCACCGAATTTCAATTAATTCCATGAAAAGAACCATTTGCCAAAGACTGATTTTCTGTTTAAATTCTGTGTGTAAACATACACATGTATATATAAATTTGCCGTTTCTTTGCTAATTAACATAAAGAGCAACTTTTCACAAACAGTTCACTTTTCAATGGTCTTTGTGATTCTCTGTATGTCGTAAATCATTAAATTTTTCATGAAGCATCACAGAGTTCTTGCCAAGATTATAACAAATTGAAACACTTGTCTGTCAAAGTAAAGTGCAACTAAGTTGCATTGCAGCATGCTGAAACACTGTAATCCCACCGATTCACAAACTCAATTGTTCGTTATCATCAGAGTGGGCAGAGAAGTCGCGGGTCGATGACGAACTCATCACTCGCCGAAACGAAGAGCATGGAAGTTCAAGCATATCATAATATCGAAAGTCCCATGGTAGTAAAAAATCAACAATGTTATACATCTACTATAACACGTATACGGTATACCATATAGAAAACTTTTCACAATATCTATGCATTGGATCCAGTGACTCAAACGTTACAAAATAAATAAAAAGATGCCATTTTTGTTGGAGCAACATTTGAAAATGCAATTTATTTGTCATTTTAGACGAAAAGTCATTCTGCGGGCAAATCTCTTTCCACACAGACACCGACACACAAGGCAAAAGAGCATGCCAACAGATAGATATTTGAATTTCAGTTGAACCACTTCAGTAAATATTTTCATGTGTGCATTGCATACAAACTGTTTGCATTTAGATTGAATAAATTGTTTGGCTTCATTCTCTCTCTCTCTCTATCTCTTCCAATCCCTCGTTTTAAGATTCATTTTACCTTATCGTCAAGAATTTCCTTTACATTACATTTTATACATATTGTTGGTTTGATGATGAAAAATATGTACATGTGGCATGGTAACAGATATTTCCATTTGTGCATATTTCTCATGCACTTTGATAATTAATTTGTGGGTTTTACTCTTACTGCTGCCTCCACATGCTTTTTCGACTTTAGTTTTTCGCAAACAGCTTTTATTTGGAAAAGTCTTTGCAGAAAATTGTGGTAACGTTATAGATAGTTTCCAAATGCTAAGATGGAAAGCAACAAATAGCTTTTGAGTGCGTCAAAATCTTCAAATATTCGATAAGTCTCAATTTCTTCATCGTTTTTTTGGTTAGTCGTAGTCAAAAAAGGAAATGCGTTATGAACAGTTTTAAGAAAGTCCAACATCCATCAACAGTTCTTTCAAAGACTTTTAATTGAAATTAAAATAATTCTCTTAAAAGTAGATTTGGCCAATTCAAACCAAATTTTTCGACTTATTTGACCATATTTTCAATCTATAACTAGACTTATGTACGGTTTGAGGTGAAAATGTGGATGTTTCCATGGTTATAGTGTCTTTGTTGTCAACAACGGTCAATCGATCAAACCGCACCATCAAGAATATTTTTATATACCGATTCATTTGTATTGAGATTAAAATGCTGGCAAAACTCCGGTGTGAACTCAACAAAAACTTATCGTACTGATGCATTTCGATAAATAGTGATATTCATTTTTGCGTCATTTGGGCATAAACGTTGACGACGCAAAACGTCTATTGAACTTTGTTCTGTCTTATATTTTTTTTGTTCTTTGTCGAAATAAAAACACAAACTTTAACTATTGCAATGAAAACTTTTCCTAATTTCATGCTTCATTTGACTAGAGTCGTCGTTTGTTCGATGAATTCTGTCAGCATCAACTGTATCTACATTGTTTGAACCACTGAACAAATGTTAAAATAAATGTTTCAAATGATTTGAAGTTTTAATATCATAATAAACCAGTTTTATTATTATATTTGTGTTTGCTGGCGTCCCTTCAACCAATTCTGATTGATTTTCGATTCGGAACGCTTTCCATAATCCACGCGCGCTGTGTGTATATGTAGTATAATAATTTATGGTTGTTAAAAATATTTTTTTTTATTAATTACAATTACGTTTTTACTATAGATTTATTTGTTAGTTCGTATTTATGTATTTTATACTAAATTCAATTTTAATTAGCAAATAAATTAGTTTTTATTATGTTAAATAGTTCTGTATACTCTCTATATTTTGTGGTGGATGTTAATTTGAAAAAAAAAGATCAACATATCGTGGTAGTGTCACGTGCTAACGTTTGAAGCTGATTGACACGTGATTTTCTGTTGGTCTTTTTTCATGTGCGTTATTCTTTTCGGTTTTTGTGTGTTGGTTAATTTTCGTTCTGTTTTATACATTGAAACACATGACAGAGATATATCAATCAAAATACCACAAAATACTAAATACCTACACCAGAGAACCGAAACGTACGATCAAAAAATCAACGAACGGTCACAGAATGATGAAATTTAACAAAACAAAAATATAAATATATGTTATATTGTATTGTATATAGAAAAAACAGCTCATTTCTCCGTTAAACTCAATATGAATGGATAAGAATAAAATGTCATGATTGCACTTTCTGATGTCACGACCCATGAATGATTCGAAGTTGGCATTTTCCTCTTATCCGTTCATATCTGTGTGTGAATTTTATATCAATATTTTGGTTTCAATTTACTAATCTCTTGTCTAATTTTAATGGCAATATTAATTTGATTAATTTTTTTTGTTATTTAAATTTTTTTTAGTATTAACACGGCACCATGATGGGAACAAGGGCTGGCGGACGTTGCCGTTCATCACTTAGCAACTAATTCCATCGGTTATATCGAATTTTCGTCGTATTTTTTGATAGATATACGGCACCATCAGCATCGTTAAAGTGCCCAATAGCAGTAGAATTGGTGGTTGATGCTGTATTGACGATGTGCCATGATGCATTGCAGCGGGATGTTCTGAAAAACAAAACGTTCATTACTAGTAGCTTAACCGTGTGTCTCACTGAGCTTTTGTTTTTGATAAATTGAATTGTCCTTGTTGTGGTGTTTATTCAAGAGTGTTTGTTTTTGACCAAAACGTGACTAAATCAATTCAAGCACAACAAATATGCGACCATCAAATTCAAACATTCAATTAATTTTGATGGTATAATGAAAACGCAACGAGTAAAAGTAAAATGTGAAATGGAATACAAATGGCTAAGCTCAGATATTTTGAAATTCTCGATAAAAACGAGACAACGAGTTCTCATTAAGTAGAATAAGTAAAAAAAACGGAACGTTTCGATCGAAACGGAAATTCACAGAAACGATATAGAAATTATTGAATCAGGTGAAAATATGTGACACCAAATTTATGAGAAGGAGGGGGTAAGATCTCTCTCACAAAAGCTTTTATCATAAGTCTAGACAACTTCCACTTGGATTAGGTCGTTTACATGCATTGATTGATGGAAAATCGATTTGAATAAAATTTTGGTCTTTTTTACTCTCTTTTTTTTGTGGAAATCAGAAACATTGAAAGCAATCGAAGAAACAAAAATCTGATTCGACAAATCTGCGACAAATGGTGTGAAAATATGAACGGAGAAACGCGTGGAAATTAATGCAATTTTGTGTCAAGTGAAAAGTTGTTAAATTGAATTGCTTCGTTGAAATAGACGATAAGAATTTTCAAGACAGGCGACAAGCTTTTAGAAAATCTTTTGTGCGCGTGTGTGTTCATTACTAAAATCGAATTTGATTGAAAAATAGAACACGTGGAAGTTTTTTTCCCTCCATTCGATTAGATTGATGGTTGCGCCTCCACAAAGATGAACAATACATTCGATTTTATTTGGTTGATCTGTCGAATTGCATTTCAAAACTAAATGTACTTACCATTCAATATGTGAACGCGAACTGAAATTGGATTGGCATTGGATGGTGCACCTAAAACGGGTATATATAAAATGCTCATTTATTTTTTATTTTGCTCAGCTAAATAAAAATAATAATAAGTAAAGTAAAACTCATGCATTAATAGAATATGTTAGTAGTTGTAGTTTTGAGTTAAAAAAGTTGCTCTTACACGTGTACATTCCAGAATCACTTTGGATGGCCTTTTGTACGAGCAGACGGCTGGTGGTGAGACGGCCTTTTTCCGTTACCAATGAAATACCACCTCTCGGCGAATCAAAATTTATTACCTACAAAACCACAAAAATGTAAATAATAATAATAATTGAATAATAAATATCGTAACATAGAAAATCGTAAAATTTCGTTTTCAACGCAAAAGGTAAAACATCAATGCAAAGGCAAAAGAGTCAATTCGACAAAACATTACCGAAGAAACCATGCTGTTAAACTATATAAATACCAATATTTTGTATATCAAAGATTTTTGGGTAGACGGATCTCCCGATTAAATAAATCATTAATTATTTTTATTGTATTTGCTCAGACAAAAACAGAAAAGCCATACGTCATTTATATGATGTTATTGATGTTTAATGGACGAAAGCATTGCTTTTACATGATTTGCTCATTTTGGCCCCTTTTTTGTTCTTTTTCGGCTTCTCGTCTATTTGTTTAGTACTGTTGCTTGGATTTCTCTACGCATTTGAATAACCAACGAATATTTACAATAAAAAGCATTGACCGCAAACAGTGGACACAATAGTAGCAACAATGACAAGAAAATTGTGTATGGTTGAAGAATAGCATGTGTCATTAATACATAAAAAAACATACACAAAAACATGCCAAAGGACAGAACGAAGAATTGCAACGACAAACGAACACGATTCGCTCAGTTGTTTCCTAGGGGAAATGATCTATTCGCGAATGGACAAAATTTATTGATTGTATGATAAAGTCGTCATTTTAGTAAAATAATTCAAGAAATTCGCAAGCTATTCGCAAAAAGCTATCACAATCAAACTATATAATATACGCTTGCAAACGAACCAAGTGAATAGCGGCGACGCAAGAAAACGAAGTGAGTGAATAGCGGCAGCGGATAACATTTTTTCTTTCGTTCGTTGTCATACAAAACATACAAATTTTGCGAATTGGGTCACGTTCATAGCGTTTTGTTTGCGAATTGTTTTTTAAATGACAACTTTACTGGCCCATCGCTTACAAATCATTTCGCATAAAATTCGCAAAATATCGAATAATTCGCTATTTTCTGATCGAGATCCGATCCCCTAGGTTGTTTCCATGATGTTGTTGTGTAAACCGGTCAGCTTTTTTTAAATGTTAAATGTTGTTATTGCCATGTTCCTTTCGTGGAATATTGACTGGTGTGTGAACATTTTGAGACGAACACATATACCGAAAGCAAACAATGGCTTAACATCGAAAAGGACTTATTGAACGTCGCGCTCAAAGATGTAACAAACATGTATTAGATATTTTCAGGGCCTTTTCTCAACATATATCGATTGGTTGTTGTTGTTACTGTTCGGCTTTTTTCTTCGTTCTTCAATGTCCATTCACGCTGTTACGATCATCAGTGGTCGTGTTGAGTATCGCCAAATATACTTCAGCATTTGGCTATTCTGTGTTGTTGAACAAGCCTGGCAACAATTTTGAAAAGTGCCGGTGTTCCACCAAAACCAACACATAAATGTCGTTTTAGTTCTTATTGATTCAGAAATACAATAGCTCTGGTCAATCAATGAACAATTTTTCGACGGTCGTTTCAAACCGTTTGGTCTTGGAATTACATTGAAATGAAATTTAACTTAAAATGCTTGTTGAAAGTTCTTGATACAAACGTCGTCCCCACTCGTTGCGCTCTTAACCAACAAAATACGAAATTCGAGGAAAACTTTTACAAAAATTAACAAAAGACAAACTCTCATGTAAAAAGGGTAACAAACTATTGAATGTTCGAGGAAAAGCCTTGAAAATATATATTTTTTTTAACAAAAAAAGCAAGAAACAAGCGAAATTGAAAAAAAAGTTGTCCATTGAGAAAATGGAATGAAAACCAAAAGGAGAGAAAGAATGACTAAACATACTTCAGAGTTGTGGGACCAAACCATTTGCGGGGGCGGCTCTGGTGCAAAGCGAACAATGCAGGTCAAATTTATCGTTGAACCCTTATTGATAAACAGATCCGGACCTTTTATTATTGAAGAGAAAAGAGTATTAGTGTTAGAGTACATATAAAGTGAAATAGCATCAAACAGAGTATAGTACATACCTCCAGTAATCTCAGTTATTGGTTCTGTAAATAGAGAAGAGAAAATTGTGTGTTAATTGTACACTAATAAATCTAATTAGACAGCTAATTTTATATTGAACACACAAAAAAATAGTGTCAATATCTAATGTAGACATCTTTCTTGAACGCACAAACAATTTATCTGTAGCGCGCTATGAACATAAATACACTTCGACACAAAGCCATATTTCAATAAGCTTCAAATGAATCCGTGAGCATTATGTGATTCGCACACAGTGCATAGACGAAGATTTATCGAAACATTTTTAAACTATTTATCTTAGCTTTTCAGCCGTTTCATTCATTCATTCTTTCATTCAATTGTCGTGTTTGTCGCTTCTGTTGGTGTCATCATTTGCAAGGAGTTCTATTTATATAACCATATTCGCTATATCAATATCAACACAAATTATAATTTCATTCAATTACTCGATTCGCCTCAAAGATTGATGACATTGCAGAAAAAGCGAAAATCCAACAAACAAGATGATCGCTGATGCAATCTCGAAGCGAATATTGTGTGCATAAAGCGATAAGAAGATACAGTAAATTAAAAATGTCATCAAGTCAAAATCTTTGTTGCCATTCGCTGCCATCACCGTTCCCAAAGATTTATTATTCAAGCCAATGAATTGCTGCCAGAGCCACACACACCAACATTTTATCCATTTGTTTTGCAGCATGGCGATGAACAAAGTTTGCTTTTTGCCATTTCATTTCTTTGCAACAATGAACAAATGGAAAATAATAAATAGATTCGTGTGTCGCCGGCCCAGCTTAATCGTCTTGTGTGATATATTTTGTCGTTTTGGTGTTAGTTTAACAACTGTGCAACTTTTTTTGGTTGACATTAATTCATTTGACGTTGAGTTAATCATTGTGACAATGCAGTTTGGCAAAGGGTTGCGTATGTGTGCAGATTCAGAGAAATAGTCGTTTCTGTATGTGACTTATTCACAGATTTTCTTTTTTTTTACTAAAACATAATTATACAACACAATATGAATGAAATACGAACAGACGGTGGGAAAAGAGTTCACCGTTGTACTGATGGACAATTTTTCAGGCGTTTTTCTCACTTGACCAACACATCAATCGGTCAAACCATTTCAAGGGATTTTAGTTTAAATTTCATTTTATTTTACAGACAAATTACGCATGATGTTATTATTTACAATGCAGCTTTTGATTCAATGAATGAATTTCGATTTTTTCGAAGCTGTTGTGATTCAATCGGGAAAATGTGATTTTCAAAATGAATTAGTACTTCATTTATCTGTACAAAACTTTGATGTTACGACCAGATTATTAAACTGGTACGTTTCACTTGGTTAGATGATCGTAATTGACATCAAGCTTTTACAAAACAAACATAACAAATATGGTGGCATCGGAAAAACAGCAACAACAAGAAGAAGAACGGAATTAGAGTTATTCAGTGTGAAGTGTTAGTTCTAGGTTAACAAGAAGATGTAAATGACTGGCAGTGAAAAGAAAGAAAAACAAGAAACACGCAAAAGTGTGTATTTTAGTCATTGTCGCGGGCGTTTGATGAACTCAAATGAAAGAAACAAGTTTGTTAAGAACATGTTTGTAAATTCAAGTATAAGACCAAAAGTTCTCATTTTCACATCAAAAGAAGTGCGGGACTTCAAACAAAAGTGGCCTTGAGAGATGAAAGGTAGAATCTCTCTACTAGCAACCACATAGCAGAAAATGTAACGAGGCAATGACTGGCAAAATATACAGGCAAATGATGATTTATACATATTCCACATTTTGAATGTGTACTTGTCTTCCGTGAGTGCATAATTCAACCAACGTCTCGAGTACCTTTTAACAATTTGACGTTTCCAGTTAAAAACATACGATTTTTCTCTCATATGCAACCGAAAATTATAATGAAGATGCATACACCATACATACAGAAATAGTACGTAAATTCAATTGAATCTGTAGTTTTAGTGTCGGGCATAGTTTGAATTGAAATGTACAGAAATTGGTTCAACTCTATTTGTTCTAACGTCTCTGTATAAGTGGTGAGGAAGATATGAAGTGCACAGGATCTAACGAAATTAAATTAGTGCTATGAGTTGAATTCGATTTGTGGCTTGGAAGCAGAGCAAGCATTGTCCCTATTCGAAAAACTTTGCATTTGAAAATACATAGACGAAAGAGAGTGCGAATATTTCCAACATTCATTAAGTTAATTGCCATGATGTTCAATCCAAAGTGAATTTATTTGTTTATGTGTGTCTCTGTTTTTTTTTTCTTCATTTTCATTGTTTTGTCAAACTTTCTCGGTTCGAAAACATAGCATCAAGATGAGCAGCGAATTACCAATCTCTCTACACTACAAAATGAACGGGAAAACTTTTCAACCAACTGTGTGTGTACGAGATTGAGAGTAACATTTTGTTATGCATAAGAAGCGCATCATTTAGATCGTAAGTAATTTTAATGCACAATGGCAACTAAGCTGTGTGACTTTCTATGCGGGTTGAGTGTCATCGATGCACCGGCACACCATTTAGATTCAAATTGAAACAGAACAATCGAATCCACCGAATGCATTCCGTAAAGTTGTAAGAGCGGTGAAAAGTTGAGCAATAGTATTATTGCGTTACGCTGCCAAAAATGGGTCCGCCAGCAAATCCGTTGTACATTGTCATAATCTATTCACAAAATTTTAAGTGTTCGATTTCAATTAAAGTTTCACAAAATGGCAACAGTGCAGAAACTTTATCCGTATCTTCATGCTGAAAAGTGTGCAAAGTCGTGACCATGATGCAAATGCATAAAATATGCTCCAAAATATTTTCCATCAATTTTATGATGGTGCAAGTCCTCCAACAGCCAGAAGGCGATGCATCTATAGTTTAACTATGTTTTATGATTAAAATTTAATTTGACACAATCGTTTCAACATTGAAACTCTTCATTTTCGCATCCAAATCTTCAACGAAAACTTTAACAAGTGACAAATCACAACAACGCAAGGACATATGCAAAAAAGTGATACTTTTTCATCTTTTAATGAATGGAAAAGATCGGTTTGCATGCGGATATGCATGTAACAAAAGAAAATCTACGACAGATTTTCGAAAACATTTCAAATTATTAACTTAGACTAGAAAAAGTTCTAACGAGTCACCGCTGCTCATTATAATACAATTTATAGGGATGCTTAGATTTTTGGCCCCAAAGAAAACTCGACAAAATTACGGCTTACACTCTCCAGCAAGTCACTTTCGAGTATCTTATTGAAACATATATCATTTTTTTGTGCAAAATTTGTGCATGCATTTTTTGAATTTGTGCATAAATGGCTGATGAGTTATTCAGCTTTAAACTATAAACTCAGCCATAGACTAGTGGTTAGCGTGCCAGGTTTGTGAGCGTGAGGACACGAGTTCGATTCTCGGTCAAATTTGGTCCGGTATTTTTCCACCGTGATTCGCTCAGGAATTATCAGTGGTTTTATGCGGAATAGATTTGGCCGGGTTTCGGGCTAGTGGAGTGCTTCGGAGGGCACTTAAAGCCGTCGGTCCCGTGTGTGTGCACAAAGAATAATGGGTTCAGCATAGACACACGTAAAATGGAGTGCCTTTACGTTAGGTTGGTGTCTTGGATATGTCAAATATCCAATACGTCAACCGTAAAAAGGTAGTGCGACATCTCTGGTGAATATACCGGTAAACCAGCGATATGTGCATTCCTCCATTGAAATAAGAAGAGCCCAACGCCATCTAGGAATGAATGGAATACTTGTGACTGTCACGACAATTGACTTGAGAAGAAAGCCCTGGTCACTGGGCCCTGTACGGAGGCTAGTTACATGGCTGCTATAAAGTGGGCCACACCGTGGGAAGCATTCTCCAAGCAATCGAGTGACAGCACAAGTCGGGTCGTCATGCAATAAGTTACGAAACTTGAGCATCGAAGTGAATAACTCCCCGTTTAATCCAATAATCCAATAATCCAATATTCAGCTTTATATTTTGTGGTGAATTTCGGTTTTGGATGCAATTCAACATTTTTCTATGGCCAAAAAATCGGTGTGAAAAAAATTGTGCATGCCAAATATGCCTTCGGATCGGTCGTACACTGCAAAAAATGCATCAAAATCGATTCGACGTTAATTTCACTCAAATTCACCACTTTTTTTTAAAATAATTGCAAAAATAAAAAAAATTATCTACCATTTTTTTGTGCTTAATTTGTGCATAACAAATTCATATTGCACCGAATTTGTGCATGCAGGGGTAGCTCAGTGGTCCACTTCACTAATATTCTCTAAAATCACACAATGAGCGAAAATCGATTCGGACTAAATTTCTTGAAATTTCTCAGTGGTAATATTTTGTAGCTACCCCTGAATGCACAAATTGGGTGCGATGTGGATTTGTTATGCACAAATTATGCACAAAAAAATGGTGAAGATTTTTTTTTATTTTTGCAATTATTTAAAAAAAAAAAAAGTGGTGAATTGTGTGGGGAAATTGACGTCGAATCGATATTGCTGGAGAGTGTAAGCCCATAATTACGTAACGGATGATGGTGAAGAACGATGCTCTTCGTTTTTTTTCATTCATTTGATTCAATTTTCTTTCCATACTCAAGTAAATCAAATTTTAAAAAAATGAGCCACATTAGCATTTTGCATATGCCGTCAACTGCATAGTAAATCAAATGAAAGTGTAACTTTCATTTTGTGTGACCCATTTAGCAGAAAATCAATTTACCGTTTGGCATGAGACTTCGAATTTCGTACGTAAATATTACGGAGCCGTTTTTAATCGTTTTCAACATGTTGACCCCAAAGTAGCATTTTGATGTTTTTTTTTCTAATAGATTGTCCCATTTCAGAAGTAAAATACAAAATAACTCGGGTATGTAATAATGTAATGAATGGTCAAGTCAGGGAACACGACGATGTTAGTTTTACCTGGTTTTAACATGTTTGTTTTTAAGTTTTAGTTAAGTATTTTTAAAAAATTGAA